TTGGTGATGTGAGAGCCTGGTCCGGTGAGAACCCGGCGTGCTCCGTCCCGGCTTTGTAGGGATGCGAGGTCAATGGTCTAACGACTACGGCATGCACGACTATGAGTCCACCCCCCTCCCCGCCCCCCCAACGCTGCACCATTGCACCAACCCCCCACTAGTGATGACGTACCATTACAATGTATCGCTGGTTGGTGGCCATGTTTGCGTGTTTGCTTGTCGTTAGTGGTCTCTCCACCGTGTGCCTTTTTCTGTCTCTTGTTTCTTGTTATTTTCGGCCTGGTCCCTTTTGTCCTCGCTCTTTTCATTTCGTTTTCTCTTGCCTTAACTGCTGTTTCCTTTTATTTTCTCCCTCTTTTTCTGTACCAGATGGCCTTGTCTCTGCTTGCGTTGTGAAGTACCAAGAGTGAACCAAGGGGGTGTACCTCATTCTCTCCGGCCCGTGATGGTGACTCCCTGCTCAGTTGTTAGCTCTCATAGCGCGCAGAGGGAGTGGAGGACTCCAGAATATCTGTCGTTGATTTCCATTGACTTGCGGACCCCTCGGGGCCATTGTATTTGAGTGTACTTTTTCAGGGTAAGTTAGCCTGCGACCACGGGAATCGACCGCGTCGAGTGTTGGATCAGTACGGACATAAGAAGGTACTGGGTAGAGAGAGATCGGAACGGTCTTCAATGTGAAGACAACAACATATATACAACATCGATGGAACTGCTGTTTATGCGTAGCTGTGTGCTCTCAACTTGTAGATTATATCCTTGTCGGCAACCGATGCGGCAGGTATCATAGTATCATAGCTTCGTTCTGCCGGCGGCGGCATGAGTTATCGTCAAGAGACGGACGGGATCCTTCTGAGAACAATCCTGGATGTTTATCATACGTGCAGCACCGACGTCTATATAGTGTACGCATGCACGCACGTGAAGAAACAAACGGTCGCTTGACGCCGGACGGGCTTGGCGTGCAACCAATCAACATCCTCCCGGTTGTTCTACCAGCCATTTTCCTCTCCTTGCTGTACGTTTGTCTTGTGCTACAATAGTGAGCGTTGCTGAATTTTAGTGCTGTCTACACGACAGCGGCGGTCGTTGTGTCCAGCACCTCTTTCTCTCGCCTCTCATATTGAGTCTCGGAGTGTCGCATGTCAAATGTTGTGAACCTTACGCATTACTATTCCTCAGATGCACATGTGCACATGTATACTGCTGTCTGCGGACGGCTGCACCCATTCATTTTACCGTCGAAACTGGATCTCTTGCTCCTCACCTACTATCAAGCCATACCGTGGTTGAGGTGGGACATGGCAGAGCACAGCCGTAGCAGCCACAGCACCACGCTACTAGAGCGTGGGTCGTGGGTGGCGACAGAGATAAACTACTGCTGTTGCGGACCAACCGCAACACACGCGCACGTTTTGTTTGCCGATGACAAGCTCGGCTCCCACAACGGTTTCTACTCATGGGAGAGACAGACGCGCTGCACCTCCGGTTGTTCGTAGACATTACCTCTGTCTCGAATCGTGCCCCGGGCATAGGCGTGGATCGTGTGTATGTAAGGGATACTGTTGGCACGTGTGGGTGGGGCGCGACTTGGTAGAGCCAGCCCGATTTTTTCTGACCGCCAGATGGCCCGGCGCGGTACAGCAGTAAACTGAAAATGTTCCAGATGCGCTGGCTCACCATCAACTTCCAATTCCATGACGGAGTGTGACAAGATGGCACACACCCGACTCCGATCTCCTCTCAGTCAGATAACACACACAGCTGTCTTGGGATCTTGGGAGAAGCTTCGTTTCTCTGAGGCACCCGACACCAGCGGGAGCTACTGCTGGCATAGTAGTCGGTGGTACGGGCAGAAGGACAACACACCATCCATCACCTCACTCACATCGATTCCAAGAGCTTCACCCGACAAGCATGGCCAGCTGGCCGGTCATTTCCAACCACAACCTGGGATTCCACGCCTGTTGCAGCCAAGCGGGTGACTTCCCCCATACCAAGGGTCGGGATATTTGTGCGGGTGCTGTCCCTCGCTAACCCCCTGCTGTTGCCCTGTTCAATTCGGTGGCGCTGAGTCGGATCGGAGATTTTAAGCGAGTCAGCTTAATCGAGTGAGCTTCAACGCCTTGAGGGGCTCCGCACAATCGAATTATGCAACCGAAGTGGGTGGGGGTCAGAAACTGCAGCCACCGAGGTTCCTCTTGCCTTAGAGTCTCAGAGCCGCACAATCTCTCTTCGAATTGCATGCATAGAGGCACCGCTTGTCGTCTATGGCATCGTTTTCTCTTCAAGGCCGTTGGTGTTGGATGGAGAGGCAGTGGGCACGTGGCCTTCCTGAAAAGGTACTTGGATCCATATCCTCGGGCCTACAGTTTCAGCGTCTCGAGACCGTAATCTAAGGTGAAGGTGGTGGTGCTGCCACTTAATACTTGTCGCGGTATAAAGTGGTGATGGCCCAGGTCCGATGGGTAAAGAAAGCGATGACGCGCCCCTTCTTCATTAACCAAGGCACCGATGTGACGATTATCATCGGCGGTTCTGGCAGCGCAGCCAAGTTCGAGTCCAACTACCACACGGAATGATGGGAACATTATACACTAACCAAACACAGGATCGTCGTGCGATGACCTTTCTCGAACCACGGTAAGGAACCATGGTAAACAACGGACAAGTATGAACCGGGTGTCCCTCGGTCAACTTGACATATAAGTTCCTCCCAAATTCCCAATTTTTTAATACTAACCTAGAAATAAAACTAGGTCGAGCAACTTGTACGCATATGTAGATTCCGAACCGCAATGCGCCCGCGTGCTCTAGTCCCTCGCTAATGAATCAACTCAAGGGCTTGACGACCCGTTCTCCTCCTGCTGCTGCTGCTCGTCAACCGCACCCTCCCTAACCCCGTCGAAAGGCGACGGCGGCGGCGGCGCGCCGATCTCCCGTAACGGCCCGCCCTCCTCGGTCCCGGCATCCAGCTGCACCCACCCCATCCCTTCGAGCAGAACGAACCTCCTGTCCCCCATCCCCCTGTCCCCGGGCCAGCCCTTGACCGACCACACCATCTCCGAGCTACCCTCCGCTCCGAGGGGCAGAAGCTGCCCCGTGCGGGGGGCGGAGGGGCTCGGGCCAACGACGGTCTCGACCCCGCCGGGCGCCGACACAACAAAACGTCTCGGGGTCTTGTCAACTCTCGGGAAGGCCGGGAGGCGCACCATCTTGGTGTCTTGGCCGCGCCTAGAGAGGACCCAGCTCCCCGTCCCCGCCAGCTGCACGAAGCCCTCGAGACCGTCGCCCGTCTCCAAGAACGTGGCCTTTTTCGGGTAGAACGGGGGGGGGGGGGGG